ACCGACTGGTCATATTGTAGGCTAACTGATCGATACTAATCCAAYCCATGTTATCCCTGTTAAACAAACTGTCCGCACATTCGTCCCGGCAGTCATCGCGACTTTTGTCAAACAAACACAACTGATTTCGATAACCGRAACCGTATTGTTGTTGTTGTTGTAGATTAACATAATTGGTAACAACTGTCCGATGATAGACAATCAATGAACTGGTATCTAWAGTAATAAACTGTAACGTATCAATTAGCTCCAGTTGTTTGCCACCGTAGTGTAGTCTAACCAGATAATCAAGATTGACGGGTCCGGTGCTGCTGCTGCTGGTGGTGGTGGTGGTAGTAGTAGTAGTAGTAGTTGCCGTTACCATCAATAAATACAAATCAATTTGACCGTTACGACTGCCGGCCAATAGTTTTCGGTCATAAAATTTACTGCTGATAGTCGRKTCGCTACCGTTTTCCTCCCGTGAATTGTTGTTATGGCTAAACAGTGTAACACATGTATAGTTCATGTTCAGACTAGGCCTATAAGCGGACCATTGGCTACACTCCCGGACACGTTTGACCTGATCATCGGGCATAAATACTGTACAGTTAAGCCATCGATCTACCGGTGCCAATAATCTGGTTTGTTCGTATACAGTCAGCTTGTTTAAATCGGCATTATCTAATTTATCTTTTTATCTATTTATCTWATTATTATTATTATTATTGATTTCCGTAAGTAATAGCCACGATTTTCCACCAYAAACGGTAATACCCGGCAACGATAGTGTAGTCTCTGTCTGGTATCTGACATTAGTAGTGGTCTGGTAGCTAAAGTATAGATCACTTATACGATATGTTTGATACAGACATCCCAKCAAACATGCGATTAAATATAGTATTTTTAATATTATTTTAGTTTCAAACATTGTTGTGTGTGTGTGTGTGTTAATGTTAAAATAAATAAATAAATATTATGTAATATACAGGTGTATCGATATATAAAAATATGCAGAAATTTTTAGATAAAATTAAAATTTGTCTAAATTATGCAAATGTAATATATATATATATATATATAACCTTATATTATATTAAATAGTATTGATTTAATCTTTTATTTCACAATAATAATAATAATAATAAACTTCGCCTAAAAACTAATTATTTGAATTTACTTTTTTTAAATTAAATATACTAATAGATGATATCATACTAATATATATTTTTGATATTAATAATAAATTAATAATAATAATAATAATAAAATTACAAATTTTTTGCATTTATTTTGAATGATTTAAAAAACATTTAATTTAATTCATATATAATTTTTATTAAATAAATATAAACTATATATGTGAAATAAAATTATATTAGTATATACAGTAGTATAYAGACACCAGTAATACAATAGATCATAAGTACYATATCRTACAGTATTAAAATTTATTGATTTATTTTAATATTTACTATTATTTATTTTAACAAATTTATTAATAATTGTTATTTTAATATTTAAACAAAATAATAATATTTTGTTTAACCTTGCTRTTTGATTTATATTGCCAATATATTGGCTAATGTACACCAAAAAATTGTATTGTTATATACAATCAATATTTTGAATATCTAAATCTGAAAAATATAAAGTTTTTATATAACGAAAATGTTAAATTATATGTTATAATAATTTTCAATAAAAAAAAATCTATTAATATTTTAATATAATTACTTATATGTAGAGTTMGATCAACATTCCCAAAGAGGGAAGTTCCCTCTAAAAAATCCCTCAAATTTTTCCTGAAAAATATATAATTTTTTTTATAAAATATGAAATTTAACTAAAATAGTTTAATAGATGATAACTGTTTTTTAATAATTAAAAAAAATATTATACAATTAAGCTAATGATATTGTTTTTTTAGAAAAATAAAAATAATACAAAACATTTTTTTTATTAAATCAATTTTTAAAAAAAATTAAAAAATTAATTGAAACTAATTAAATTTATAGTTGTTGTCTTAAATATAAATTAAATTGATTTTGTTGTTGTAGTAGTTGTTGTTGTCGATAGTTAATATTTGTAATAATTGTTGCTTGTTGTTTATTTTTATTATTTAAATAAAACAATCATATCATGTATAAATATTAATAAATCAAATACAAATATTACACTAAAACCAAACCATAGTCCMAATAAGCTAGCAACTAGACATAGATATTCCTCCCAGGTCAATTTCAATGTAATATCAATATAGATTACTGGATCAGATGATTGACTAATAGCTAGATGATAATAATCTTGATGATGATGATTATTATTATTATTATTATTATTATTATTATTGGTTGTCTGGGTAACCATTGATTTGATCATATTAGATTTATCTAGTTTAATATATTCCTGATAACATTCAACCATATATTTTGTACATAATTCTATACAATCATACTTATAGATACTAGTGTCGGGTAGTTTGTCATCAAATTTCAATTGACTATCTGATAAATTATAGGCTAACTGATCGTAGATAATCCAACCGGGATTAGCCCTATTGAACCTACTGTCCACACATTCATCAAAACAATCATCTGGACTTTTATTGAACAAACATTTCTGATTGTAATTATTGTTAGCACCCGATTGTTGTTGATTAACATAATTGGTAACAATTGTCCGATGATAGACAATCAATGAACTGGTAGTATCTATAGTAATAAACTGTAACGGATCAATTAGCTCCAATTGTTATGACACCGTAGTGTAGTCTAACCAGATAATCACAATTAACGACTAGTGAATCGGCGACGGCTGTCCTTATCATCAATAAATGCAAATCAATTTGACCGTTACGATTGCCGGCCAATAGTTTTCGGCCATAAGATTTACTGCTGCCGATAGTCGGKGGGTCGATGTTTTCCTCCCGTGAATTATTATTAGTGTTGTTAATAATGTTGTTGTTGTGGCCAAACAGTGTAACACACGTATAGTTCATGTTCAGGCTAGGMCTATATGCTGACCATTGGTTACACGGTATGGTTTGATTGACTTCATCGGGCATAAAAACGGTACAATTGAGCCATTGATCTACCGGTGCCAACAATTTAGCTTGTTCATCTATCGTCAAATTGTTTAATATAGTATTGGTCATTTTTATACCACCACCACCACCATTATTATTATTATTATTGATTTCAGTGGACAGTAGCCACGATTTTCCACCACAAACGGTAATACCCGGCAACGATAGTGTGGTCTCAGTTTGATATATGACATTAGTAGTGGTCTGGTAGCTAAAGTATAGATCACTTATACGATAAGTTTGATACAGACATCCCAGCAAACATGCGATCAAATATAGTATTTTTAATATTGTTTTATTTTCTAACATTTTTTTTGTTAGTTTGTTTGTTGATTTTTATTAGTAGAAAGCATTTTTTATCAAGTACAAATAGAGAAAATAAAATTAAATCCATAGAAATCACTAGAAAAGTGATTACTAGACTAAATAGATACTATTACCTAGATCAATTTACAATTTAATTTTTACATTTAATAATATATATATATAGAAAATAATTATGATATATCATTTTTGCAAAAATACAAAAAAAAATTAAACTAATATATTAGAGTAAAAAAATTGAATATTTTATTGCATTTTTATTTTGTATTATTATTATTATTATAAATGATAAAAACTACTCCTAAAAATTAATAAACTAAATGTGTTGCAAAATAACTATTACAATAAATATGTAATTTTTAAAATATAAATTTATAGCATTTTATTGTTAAATCAAAATATTTTTGATAAAATAATAATAGAAAAAAATTTTTTTTTTATTAAATTAAATTTTTTAAAACCTTTGTATCTGATACCATACAAATAATTAAATATATTTATAAATTTTTATTATTATTAACAATTAATATGTGTTAATTAATTAAATTATATTTCTAAATTAAATACTTTAAAATATATACGGAAATCTTGATTGTTATAAAGTTTTAAATAATTGAAACTGATGAATGTATAAATAATTTAAAAATAATAAAAAAAATTGAACTATAAAAAGTTATAATTGTTTAATTGTGTTAAAGTCCAATATATTTTATATATAAAAATATATATTTTGCTTAAAAAATTGTAAAGTAATTAAACATATCTTTGTTGATTTATATTGTCTATACTTTATATAAGACAATGTATAACATAATATATAATCATATAATACTATTAAATATTTAGATTTTATATAAATTAAAAATAGGTATAATAAACATATAATAAAATTGAAATACGTTAATAATTTGCATTAATAACAATTAAATTATATGTTTTTTAAGAAAAAATTTAATAATATTTTACTAAATATTTGATACTAAAAATATTATTCATATAATATCATATTATAAACAATAATTATTTTAAAAAATAAACTATTAATACTATTTTTTAACAAACATTTCCTTTCATTTTAAAGCAATTTAGAAATAAAATCTTATTATTAATATCTATTAGTCATAATAATAATAAAAATAAATTTTCAGTATAATAAACAATATTAATAATATATAAATAGTATTTATTGTATTGTATTTCATATAGTAGTATAAAACAATATATATATATATATATATATATATATATATATTTATATTAAATTTATGATCATTGATACTGTATATACAATGGAAAATTTTAATTGTTAAATTATAAATTAATATATGTTAACCTGGATTTTTATTATTGTATTTTAATATTTTATCGATAAAAAAATGTCATATAACTGTAAAATATCAATATATTATATATAAATACCTGTATAAATTAGTACAATATACTGCATTTACAGTATAATAAAATTTACAAATTTGATAATTATCTGTAATAATAATAATAATTAGTTATATAATAAATAGTAATAAAAATAAATATACAGGTATACTGATATATATATATATATATACAGTATATTAGTAAAACAGCAATATTTTATTTAAATAAATTTAACAATTTTTTTTAAAAATAATTAGTTTTCAATTTTTGTGTGTGTTTTGTATTATTATTAGTGGGTGTGCATCAATTGGACTAATACAAACACACACACACACACACCAACAAAATGTCTACAAAAAAATCTGAAAAATTTTTCAATCAATTAAAAACCCAAAATAATAATATGCTGTCAATAATTGTATCGTTGGCTAAGTTTATATGGAATCCTAAGACCAGACAATTTTTTGGTCGCACCGGTAGCTCATGGCGTATGTATATATAATTTTTAGATACTATACTATACTTTATTTATTGTATATAATYYTTAGTTAAGATCCTAACATTTTACATATGTTTCTACTGTTGTTTGGCTGGATTTTGGCTACTAATGCTATATGTGTTTTATCAGACTGTCGATCCACTGGTACCCAAACGGCAATACTGGGACAGTCCTATTGGTTGGACACCGGGACTTGGTTTCAGACCGCGCGACCAAAACGGTGTCAGCGATAGTATAGAAATTCGGTTCAAACCGGAAGGACTAGAAATGGACGRYAATAACAATAACAACAACAACAAGGACTGGAAGTACTGGTCAGACAGTTTGGCTGACTTTCTGGAGCCATACGAAAAGGCTGCTACCGGTGCTCATAACGACTTTGACGACCAGTGCTCGGACGGCGGCGGCGGCAAACCTGTGTCAACCGATACTGACCAGAGATACTGTTTGTTTGATATTAAAACAATTGACGCCAATTGCAGTCGTGATCGGGATTTTGGSTATAAAACAGGCGATCCTTGTGTTCTCATTAAACTTAATAGAGTAAGCAATAAAATATTTATTTTTAGAAAATAATAATAATAAAATTTATGATAAAATTTTTACTAAAAATTTTTTTTAACAAATCTCTAACTAATAATTATTTTTTAAAATAAAAAATATCATAAACAATTTGATATTAGTTTAATATAGCATAATAAAACTTTTTTATTATTATAACAATTGAGTATTATAGTTTATTTTTTTGACATAGTTTAATGATCCAGGCTAGATTAATATGTCATCTAGCATATAGCATATCTTAACAAAAAAATAGCAAAAGTTTAGATAAAAAGCTTAAGTTTTATTACACATAAATAAACAAATAAAAAAATATTGTTTAATATATAAAATAACTAAAACATATCTAAAATAAAAGTTTTTCTTTGCGAGTTATAATGTAATAAAAATATTTTAGTTGTTATTGTTTTCATATTGTTTTATTTTATTAATTAAATAAAATTACTTACATTACTAATTAATTAACTTTTTATAATTATGTTATGTAGTAATGTTTATAAATTATAGTTTATTTCCCATATGTTTTAAAATCATATAATAGTACATAATAKACWATATGAATATTATTTTATTTTTTTAGTTATTAATAATCAATTTTTTTACTTTAAATTGCTAATAATTTTRTCATTAATTAATATTAGATGAGTTTTAAAAATATGATTAATAAAAAAAATAAACTGTAAATTTTAAAATAACATTGTGTATAATAAATTTACATATCATATATAAAATTATTATCATAAATTATCTCAAACATGATTTCTAAACTATTGAAATATAGAGTTATTAATTCAAAAAATTATTTATAAAAAAATACTTTTATCATTTAAAAAAAATTTATTTTCCCCCACAAAATAGATATACAATTGGATGCCCGAACCGTATACTAATGATGACCTGGAGGATGACAACAATAACCAATTGGTAATACCAGATGAAATTAGATCAAAAATATTGGTCACCACCACCAACAACAACAACAATCAAACTATTAAACCAATGATTTATATAACATGCAATGGAAAGGTATATAATAGTACAGTTATTTTTTATGGTATATATTATTAGATAATAACATATTTTTTTATTATTATTAATTATACTAATTTTTTATTCACAGAGTATAGACGATAGAGCCAACATAGGACCGATACACTACTACCCGCACCAGGGCATGGAAATTAAATACTACCCGTTTACCAATCAACCCGGTTATCTATCGCCGTTTGTTTTTGTCCACTTCCCTGAGCCGGCAACCGGTGTCCGGATTGGTGTCGAGTGTAAGGCTTGGGCCAGAAATATACAACAAAATCGGGCGGACAGAGAGGGATACATACAGTTTGAACTATTTATAGATTAGCCAATAATATTCATATATTAATATACTGTATATATAAATATATATATAAATAATTTATTGACTTAATTGTCGTTCAAAAAATATATATATTGTGATATATTTATGTAGATTTTAGATTATGTTTGTTATTTTGTTAATTTTTGAATTGAACAAAAAAAATTACTATATTTTGTATTTTTTTGGTCAAACAAATAAAATCAAACCTAATCTAAAATTTATATACTTATATTTATGCAACAATAAAATATTTTTTATATATTATAACTATTTAGTGAAAAAACCYRTACTGTTTTTGTTATTTATTTTATCAAAAAAAAAAATTGAATAAATAAATTATAAAATGTATTTTTTTTAATGTATTATAAATTATTATTATTATCATCAATGGGTTAGTATTTTTTTTTTAAAAAAATAAAAATAAATAATACCAACAAAATTAATACTTCAACAAATAATTTAATTTATTATATATATATATATATATATTAAATATCAATATTTTTTTCAATTACAATGATTATTAYAATAATTTAGTAGTAGTAGTAGTAATAGTAGGCAATAATACAGGGACAATAAATTAATAAAAAAAAATAGACAATAACTCAGTTTTTAATGGAAATTATAGATTATTTTTTTTAGACAAAAAAAATAATAACAATTAAATAAGTAATAATAATAATATCATTTGGTGAAAAAAGCTGTCTTTACATATATTTTTATAGATACATATAAATAGTTTTTTTTTAATATTTAGTGGTAATGTCCATATATATAGATAGAGAGAGAGAGAGAGAGAAATATCCAACTGTCCACTTCTATAAAAACCTAATCCATTGGGTTTTTTTACCATTGGATTAGACATCCAATAGAAAAAAATCATATGTTTTAGTATTTCTTTCCGTAGCTAATAATCTTGAGGTCACCGCCGTTACCATAACCGCCATCACTGTAGCCACCCTTGTAGCTGCCATCATCATAGCCGCCGCTAACGTACTGACCTTCATAGCCACCCTTATAGCTGCCATCGTCGTTACCGCCATCATAACCACCCTTATAGCTGCCATCATCGTAACTGCTGCCACCATAGCTGATCAAAGTCTTGGGCTCAGAGATCTCGTAGGACTTAGTGATGACTGGTTGGTAGGTCTTAGTAATCACTGGCTTAATCAATGTCTTGCCATAGATAGGGGTGATTGAGTGGTGTCGCTCGAGACTGGACTGTCTGATCGGTTCCTCTTGTCTATACTCAACACTTTTGGTAAGGACTGGCACCTTCACGATACGGGTAGTGGTATAACTGATCTGTTTTGAGTTACCATAGCCGCCTCCATAGCCACCGTCACCGTAACCGCCGCCGTAGCCTTTGTTGTCGGCCAACAGTATGGCTCCCTTATAGCTGCCGCCATCACCGTAGCCGCCGTCGCTATAGTAGCCTTTGGACGGTATGGCAGCGGCCAATGAGATGAGAGCCGATAGCACTACCTGTGCGGTAAAAACAATAAATTTAAATAAGTTTTTAAAATCAGTAAATTGTATTATAAATCACACTTACAAAGGTATTCATGTTATTAATATGACTTTTTTTTGGGTGACAATTCAAACTAATATATATATATATATATATATATGTATTAACAGCTTTTTGTATGACTGACTGAGTGATAATGTTTTTTACATACCGGTGTGCACCGGTATTTATATGAAAATTATTTTTTTCAACATTTTCAATATTTTTAAGAAAACTAATTACTAGTTTATTAAATTATATTTATTTAGTTGTTTTTTGTGTGTATGTGTGCAATATATTATAATTATTTGCATATTAATATTGAATATAATTTTTTTGCGTGTTTTTATCAAAAACCTTGATTTGATTTTTGTTTGATTTTTATTATTATTATTATTGAGTATAGTTTTTACTAATTATGAGGTTTGGTCTAGATATTAAAAAATGATTTTTTATTATTTTTATTATTTTTAATTATTTAATTTAAATATATATATATATATGTAAATATATATAAATTTATTATATATGTAAAGATATATAAATTTTCATAATAAAAGTTTAATTAACAATAAAAAATTAATAGTATTATTATTATTATAAAATTTATGTTTAATTACATTGTTTTTTAAAGTATTAAATCTATAATTGTTTAGTATAAGTATTTCTATTTAGTAAAAATATGACAATTTATAAACTAGATTATCAATAAATTAATTTTAATAGAGATTTATATAATATTGTTTAACAAAATTTTTATAGTAATAACTATATTTATATAAGCATACACATTATATTTATGACATTTATTAGATTTTAAGAAACTTTAATAAATGTTAATTAAAAATTTTGAGTTTAGAAATATATATATAAATTTATAAATATTATTATTTCTAGAAATATTAATTATAATACAGTATATGTATATATATATTGATTAAATTGATGTATTTTAAGCATTAAAAAATACATTTTTAATAATTATTTTTTAAAAAAATATACATATGCACAAATTCTTTATTGTAATTAAATAATAATAATAATATTTGATAATTATCAAGGTTAATATAATAAATCAAAATTTATTAATAATTATCAATAGTTAGTGATATTTAAGGTCAAAATTTATGAGAATTTTGTAAACTATTATATAATTGATTTTTTTAGATATCTAATCATATAATAATAATTATAGTTTATTTCTATATAAATGCAATAAAATTTACAAAAAAAAAAATTAAATAATACAATTTAATTTATACTGTAATTAATTTATTTTACTTAAAAAAGATTTAAAAATTTACTTAATAAATATTTTTAATTATGTTTGATAAAAATAATTAAATTGTTTTAACATCTAATCTAATCAAGATAGTCAACAAAAAATAATAATAATAATAATGATGCAAATAATAAAATAATTTACATAAGTTTATTGTATTAAAATAAAATTATTGTTTTTATTATTGTTGTTGCTGTGTATTAGTGCAACCTTGGCTAACCTTGGGCAACCCTAATTTTTTGTTTGTTTTTTTGTTGTATTTTTTTAGTTGCTATCATAAAATTGTTGGTACAGTTTAAGCTCCAAAAAAACTAGGAAAACACCTTTTATTGCACACAAAAATCGTTATAAAAAAACCAAAAAAAAAATAAATTTCTAAATTTTTTTTATAACTATCTATAAGTTTTATATATTTTTATAAAAAAATTAAAAAAAACAAGTTTTATTGGAAAACACTTTTTTTATTTAAAAACATTTTAACAAAATCATTACAAATAAAAACTTAATGTTTAAATAATAATAATAATAATAATAAAACATTTTAAATATTAAAATTTTTTTCAATATCACGATTATCAATATATAATATTTAAAATTAATATTATAATATAACTTATAAATATTATTCATCGGCTATTTTAAATAAATGATTTAAAATAAAACTTGTTTTTTTCCTTAAATAATTTTTTCCCCAATACAATAAGTTTGTTAATAAAAATATATGTAAAAATAAATAAAAGTTTATAATACCATTTATACAATCAAATAAAAAAAAATTAGACCCTTGAGAGCCACACCTATATTTTAATTACATTTTTGGCGTTATAATTGATTAGTAATATATTCAATATATATATTTATATATTAATACAATTATTAATACATATTTTCTTTGAAATAAATATCTATTTTAAATGTCACAACTAATTTGTATAATTTTTTTTATTTTTGTTGTTGTATATAATTATAGTAAAAATGTTTTTAATTTCCTATTTTACTAACTAAAAGTTATTATTCAATGTTATTATGAAATACATTACTTTCATAATTTATTCAACGCTAACATACTTTATATATATAACTTTATATAAAATTAATTATTTAATTAAAAAAAAATAAAGATTCAATTTATTGTACATAAATTTTTTTTATAAGTTATAACATATTTTATAATTATTAAATTTTTTTGTTTTTTGTTGCTATCATTAGACCAAAATAGCGCAGTTTTTTTATTGCAAAAATTAAAATTAGATATAATTTTCAATACCTATATTAGTCGATATATAAAATAACTTAATAATTTAAATATTATAACAACAACTAAAATAATTATAGCCTTTATTTCAACAAAAAAAACGAGAAAATCATATATTATTAACTAATATATAGTAATATCAGTCAATGAGAATAACCATCAAAAACGCCTTAAAAACTAAAAACAAAATACTTTATAAAAAAAGATTAATAATATTAATAATGAAATAAAAATTAAAATAATAACTTTATATTTTGTTTGTTTGTGTTGTTATTAGTATAAAACTGGTTATTATTATTATTAATATTGAAATTACAATATACATGATATTATAATATTAAAAATTATATAGCAATTCATTTGTTTAACAAAAATCCTTATAATATTTAAATATATAGTAAAACTTATAATAAAAACAAAATTTCAATGTCAATAATCCGATCATTTAATTGGGATTTACTTATTAGTTAGTGAATGAATGAGAGAGAGAGAGAGAGAGAGAGAGAGAGAGAGAGAGAGAGAGAGAGAGAGAGAGAGAGGTTTTTAAATAAAACTAAATAAAGTTTTCAAATTCATTACAAATTATTTTTTCTACAATCAGTTTTCTAATGTCTATTCAAAAAAAAAATAGTTAGCCATTGGATGACATATAACTAAAGCATCCCAAGGATTATCATTTTTATTGTTATTTATTATTATTAATATTATTTTCAATAGCATTTCAACGATTATAAAAACATTATAATATCATATATTATATTATTTATACAATTAATAATTATCTGATTCATTGACGCAATGATGGATAATCTCAATGAATATTTATTATATATATTGATATACAAAACAATGAGTATATAAAGAGAAACTATAAATTGAAAAATTTTGTTAAATATAGTTTTATTACAATTTGTTTGATTATTTGCTTAACTATTGTGTGCTTTTAATTAAATAATATATCAATAATGAATACATTGGTATTTATAAATTTTTATATTTTTATTTATCTTAATATAAATTTTTAGAAATAGAATTTTTAAAATTAAAATTTATAATAAACTAAAATAACTTATTTTTCTTAAAGTAGTAATTATACTGTATTAATAATAATAATAAAATAATAGTTTAATTAAATATTTTTTGATTTATAAAGTATATAATTATAATAACTTAAATTTTTTGTTTATAATTTATTGCTAATTATAATTTAACTATAATTATTTTAATGTGTAGATATTTAAATAATAATATTAATATAATTTTTATTATCTTTTTTATTAAAACACATTTATATTTTTTAGAAAAAAAACTTAATCTAATTTGCTATTACTAAAAACAGATTTTTATAATTAAATTTTACTTATTTTTCTATTATTTTTTATTTTATTTGAAACATTGATTAAAAATTTCTATATATTATTTGCTGAATTAGTAATAATAATTAAAGTAAAAACTAAATAAATTAAAAATACATTAACAATTAAATTTAAAATAATAATATTAAAAAACACATTTTTTTGTGTATTAGTTTTTCTAATTTCTAATTATGTCATAATATTAATTGATAACAAAATTTTATAATTATTTTTGTTTGTTTGCAATAATTAGATCGTATTGTCGGCTCTGTTAGCTGTGACCACTGCCACATATGTTGGCGGCTATGGAGGATATGGCGGTTACGGTGGCGGCTATTATGGCGGTTATGGCAAAGGCTATGGCGGTGGCTATTATGGTGGCGGCGGTGGTTACGGTGGTAAGGGCTACGGCGGATACGCCTTGATTGGTGGCTACGGACTGGGCGGCGGCTATGGAAAAGGTTACGGCGGCGGTTATGGTGGCTATTATGGCGGCGGTTATGGCGATGGATACTATGGTGGCGCCTATACTACCAAAACAGTAGTAGCGGCCGCACCCGTTGTTACCAAAGTTGTTGCCGCACCTATTGTGACCAAAGTTGTGGCCGCACCGGTAGTTAAGWCGTACGCCGTAGCTGCTGCACCAGTTGCCTACCTGAGCGGCGGCTATTACGATGGCGGCTACGGTAAAGGTGGATACGGTGGTTATGGCTATGGAGGCTATGGCGGCTATGGTAAGGGCTCATACGTTGTCGATGGCGGCTATGGCGGTTATGGTGGTTATGGTAAGGGTGCCTACGTTGTCGATGGCGGCTATGGTGGTGGTTATGGCAAATATTATAAAAAATAAATAAATACTAAACTGATGCTATCGATTGGATAATGGGAAGATAGAGAGAGGGAGAGAGAGGAGGGGTGGAAATGGATGTTAAATGTGTGTAAATTTCATACATTATTATTTTTTTAAGCTCAAAATTAATCACTAATTTAAATATCTGCCATTTGATTTGATTGACTGCCAAATTGTCTATTTAATAATTATAGTGTGAAAAAACTAAATTATTTCAAAATATAATCCAAAAAAAACTGAATTAAACACTAATTATTTTTTTATTTATGTGTTTTTTGTTGTTGTTGTTGTTGTTGTTGTCTTATTGTCGATGATCTCTGTTTTGGTTAGGATTGTCTTTATATAAAATAATAATAATAATAATATATTTAAATTAATTAACATTTAAAAAAAATTAAATGTTATTTTAATTAAATTAATTATATTTATTATTTGTTGTTGTTTTTATAGACAAAAATAGTTTTGTAAAAAAATGTAGTTTTAATTTGTTGTTGTAGTAAACATATTTCATGTACTAATTTTAAATGTAATTTTGTTAAATGTTTGTTAAATTCAAATTGAATTGAAGTATTAAATTACTTTTAAAAAATAAAAATTTAAGTGCAATTACTAAAAAAAAAAGTTTATACTTTATTTCACTTTTCAAATTATTGTTGACTTAGAAAATATTGATAATAATAGATTTATAATACTAACTATATTAATATGTTTATATACATTATAAATAATTTTTTAGTTATTAAATTATAGTAAATACTTTTTGGTAATTAATATAATAAATACAGTTTAACAAAATTTTTAAAATAAATAATTTAAGTATCAAAACTATTTGTACAAAAAAAAATTATTATTATTATTATAAGTAATTATTTTGGATATATTATACTCATATGATGGTCACTGTCCTTATCTTTATCATCGGCTAAGTCCTGTTGGGCTTCAAGTATTAAATGGTCGACTAAACCACTGTCCCTTTTGTCGGTACCCATTATATTGTAGGGCAGGTAATAGCCAAAACAGGTACAACGTCTATAGTAGATATCGCAGTGGCCTATTTGATACTGTAATAATAATAATAATAATAATTATAAGGACAGTTAGTTAGTTAGTTAGATAGCTACCTACCCCATGCTCTTTGCAGGCACTGTTGCATTCAATATCATTTTCGCCGATCCTGGCATTGCACCCGTAGTTTAAGGAGCCGGTGCTCAACGATATACTAATTGAAAGTATTAATATAAATAACAAATAAGTCGATAGTTTTCTATTGAATTTTTTCATTATTATTTTATAACTTTTTTGTTGTTGTTATTGTAGTTAAATTAAAAAAATAAATAAATATTATTTTACTGTTTTACTAATTCAACAAAACTTTGTTTTAGATTATAATAATAATAGGAAATTAAATTATTAAATATCTGTTATAAAAGTATAAAATAAAAATAAATGTTTTGTAACACAATTTATTTTATGATAATTAAATTTTTGCTCTAATTGTAATAAATTTTAATTAACTAAAATACAAATATTTGTAAACACCTGTCAAAATTTTTTTTAACTATAATACAGAAATAATAATAATAATATTATAATGATATTAAAATATTTAGTTTTAGTAAATTTTACTTAAATCATGTAACTAACAAAAAATTGTATTTTATTAAATATGTTATTAATATGTTATCAACTATTTAATGAATTATTTTTTTTAAAAATACAAACTTAAACTAAAACTTAGTTATTAGATGACACTCTTTACTTATATACTAAGTTTTTTTTGTGTGTTTGCATAATAAATGGATTAAAATGTAAAAAATTTGTAAACAGATTGAAAAAATTTGATAAAAATTTTATTGATTTTAATATTAAACTATTTAATGATTTACCAAAAGATATTAGAGAAGAGCATAATTATAATAAGTTTGCGAATCTAATTGATTGTTATTTTAATTAATTTTAAATAATTGTATTTTCTTGTATATATTATTTATTTTATGAACTTTTAATGTATTTCATGACAAGTATTTGAAATAAAAATTATTATTATAAAAAAAATAAAAGTATAATAAATGTTATTATAATCACAAAAAAATATGCAAATTATTTTCTTAGAGTTTGTTTAATTTTACATAAATAAAATGTTATACAGTGTATAAAAATTATTAAATAAAAATACTTATATTTTTCTAATTACTTACAAATTATTAATTATATTTTTTTAATAAATTAATTACAATTGAAAAATTTGTATATAATTTATGAAAATATTATATTTATTTAATTTTCTAATTTAATTAATTTTTAAACATTATTTGTTTAATATTATTGTTGTTGTTTTTGATGCAATCAAACAATATTATTGTACAATAATCAATAATTATTGTACAATTTTTATGTTTACTAAAAAAATATATTTTAATTGATTTTTCAAGTATGCAAATAGTTAATAATTAACAAAAAATATTAATTATTATAAAAATAATAATAATTTATATATATATAAATAAATCATTTATAATTTTTATGTACAAATATAACACAATAGAAAATTTTATTGATAAATTTGTGATAAATAAAATTATAATTATTATAAGAAATATTGGTTTTTATTTTGATTATTATTATTATATTATTTGTATTGTATAATATATTATCATAAAATTTACAAATAATTCATAAATATTATACTAACAAATAAACACAGTTAGATATAAATATAAATTTTGTAATAATTATTGTATAGTTATAACTATAGCTAATAATAGTAATTATAAATTAAAATCTAAAAATTATGGTTATTGATTTTTATTAGTAAATATATAATAGATACGAAATTTTGCTAAAAAATTATTAATAATTATTATATAGATAAAAATAATTATATTTATGTGAACATTATCATCTGGAATTATACTGTATTATAAAAACAAATATTAATATTAATACAATTATTTGTACAAAAAAAATCCCAAACCAACTATTAGTTTTATTTATAAAATAATATTGAATAATTTTTATATATAAAAAAAATATTTACACACATTTACATAATATTTGTTTGGGTTTGTTAAGTTGTTAGATATAGATAAAAATAAAATTTATCAAAAAAATTTATTATTATACTGTATTATTGTATTTATATAAATTAAATATAAATATTATTATTATTATAAAGTTAATGCAATAAACATTTAAAATTACAATAATAATAAAAAAAATTAAGTTTTTAATTTAACAGTTAAATTTAGTTAAAAATAACTAACTAATTATAATAAATTAATAAACTAATTAATAATAATAATGTTTGGTTGGCAATATTTCACTAAACAATATGTAAACTATACCAATGCCATTAGACTGTCCTATTTTATGGTATGTTCGGGCTTCTGTATGTATCAGATCTATCGACTATCGGCAATGTATTTCCAATACGATATGACTATATCGATAAACAGTGACAATTCGGGTAAGATATCGATGCCGGGTATAACTGTATGCATCAATAAGGCATATCTGGTCAAACCGGATATATTGCTCAGGGAGTTGTCCATTGATAGGGTTTCGGGTAATAATTATGAACAAATCAGAGACTATATGAACAGAAAATGGACGCTTAGGGAACAGTTGGCTAACCTATTGGACAAACATCAGCTATTGAACAATACGTGCAAAGTTATGAGTACTATTGGTATTAGCAATAATAGTAGGGACGGTAACAAACAATGGGACAACTATATCGATTGTGAACTAATAGCACCGATACTACAGGTATACAGTAGTTGGCACTAAAAAAAATAATAGTGAAAATTTCTAGAAAGTTTCTGGATTAAAAAAATTCTGTTTATGGGAACATTACAATTAAATATAATAACTAAATATTATTATTATTATTATTAGAATTTTAATTAATATTAACAGTTAAGTAAAAAAAAATATTTTTAAAAGATAACATTAATTTTTTATATAAATATCAGATCCCATTTGTACATTATGTCTCAATAATTTAGTATTCAAATAGATATAGATATGGGAATCCCATAGTATAATTATAATTAAGTAAAAAAATTAAAATTAAATTAAAAATAAAATTTGAAAAAGTAAAAATCAGAAAAAAATTACTAAAATATTTCTATTTGCCCACCATCTAACACTACCAGGGTATTAATCTGGAGGACAGTTGTCTTACATTGTTTTACCAGTCAGACATGTCTACTAGCCGGGACAAAATGTATGAAATAGACAATACTAATCGTATCTATCGGGATGTCTATCTGGAAATGGTTCAAATGCAACTGCCCGTTAGCATACCCAACTTGCATGTATATTTTCATCCACGACGGGAACTAATCATACGCTATACGGAACGATTTAGTCGGGAATTAATACGAATTCCCGGCTATATTACGTTCATAGGCTACAGGAAAACCCGTATACAATTGCTACCCGCACCGTATGTTAGCAATTGTCAAAATTATGAGACTATTGGCTATCATTCGCACGATGAATGTGTAGCCCAGTGTCGATTGGATAGCCTAACAAAATCGCTGGGCAAATGGCCGGGTAGTTATCTAGCCTACAATATGACCCGATGGGGTCATCTGTATGTACACGAAGTATTTCCGCGATTTAATTTCAGTTTGAATAATCAATCGCTTGTCCGAATGGACAAACAAATTAGCTACCGGTGTCGGCAGGTATGTGGCGAAAAAAACGATTGCCTAACCCATGTATACGATACTAGTGTCGACAGTTATCGGTCGAATACCGGCCGGTTTTATTTGGTTATACAACCGCCCCAACAATCCGATCAGATTGTCGAACATTTACCKAAAATCGAAATCCAGGAGTTTCTGGTACTAATGGGAAGTCTATTAAGTTTTTGGTTTGGCTTTTCAATGATTGTTGTATGCGATCTACTAATCAAATTCGGACGGTTTGTCTATACAAGTAGTTGTAGTAGTAGTACATGTAGTTGTCTGGCACCCAGATATCTAGTATCTAATAATCTTAATAATAAATCATATTTTATCTATAATCACCAATGTAATAATAATAATAATAATAAACATGGTGAAAAAATTATGACAATTAATAATAATAATAATCAATCATCAATTGATCGTGGTCATTTTATACCTGTTAGTAGAGCTAGCACACAATTAGAAGATAGACGATAGTTAAATAATAATAATAATAATAATATAAAAAAGTTATATTGTATATTGAAACTACTGTAACTTATTGT